TGAACTTGTCTGGAGCATTATATGTTTTTGGTAGCTTAATGTTGTCAGCTGACAGTCTGTTGTACCCTTGGATTGCAATTGATTTTATAAAAATGTGCAAGGAAGGCTACAATCAAAGTTGATGGATATTCTAGTGTACATGATACAAGATGCACAACACTTACATTGGAGGTCATATGCCTTGCAGAATGAGCAGAGGTTTCACAGTCTGCAAAACTGAAACTCTTGTGGTGTTGTGAATTGAATGGACACCTTGATATCTGTTCACTTCAAGGTCTGCACGAGGTTCTTGGCTAGAGATGGGCATGAACCAAACCCCATGGACCAGAAGAAAACACAGACTAGCAGAAACCCAAAAAACAAATTGCGAACCAGTTTGCTTTTCAAGGGGGGGATCATGATAGTTCATGGTTCCTGGGTAGCCATGAACCACTATCCATCATGAACCATCGGTTTTCCAGTTCATTACCATCTCTATTCCTGACATCAAGATGTATCTTAAATAGAAAAGCTGTGCTGATTTGCAAGCACCTGCCAGACACATAGATACACATTATTGTGTATCACATTGATACACATTCAGCACATTGATACACATTATTGGGCATATTCTTAACTGTATTATCAGGTGGCAGAAAACCATTTTGCAGTCTAGATGGGTGTGGAGATTTTCACTATGCTGCCTGGAGAATTCTGGGAGTTGTAGTTCAGAAGAAAAACATCTGCAAATCTCTAATGCAATGAGGAGGATAATCTTGGAGGCTTAAATTTTAAAATCTGCTTAGAAATACAATGAATGTTGAGAGGGGAGAGTTTGTGTATCAGGCCCGTGGAGTCTCAATTGTGGGGTCCCACAGGGGTCGATTATCTCCCCAATCCTGTTTAACACCTATATGAGGCCGCTGGGTGGGGTCATCAGGGGGTGTGGAGCATTGTGTCATCAATATGCTGATGACACCCAGCTCTACATCTCCTTTTCACCAACTGCAGGTGATGCCGTCCTGTCCCTTCAGCGCTGCCTGGGGACCGTACTGCAATCGATACAGGAAAACGGGCTGAGGCTGAATCCGAACAAGATGGAAGTTCTGAGGGTGCGTGGCCCCGTGGCTGGCAGCTTAGGTGACTCTCTCACATTGGGGGGGGGGGGTGATTCTGGCCACGAAGAGCTGGGTCTGCAGCCTGGGGCTACATCTGGACCCGATGCTCACCATGGAAACGCAGGTGGCGTTGGTAGTCCACACCGCTTTTTTCCACCTTTGGCGGATTGCCCGGCTGCGGCCCTATCTCGACACGGGGGCGCTTACTACCTTGGTGCATGCGCTCGTAATCTCAAGATTAGATCACTGTAACGCGCTCTACGTGGGGCTGCCTTTGATGCTGATGCGGAAACTTCAGGTGGTGCAGAATGCGGCAGCCAGATTCCTCAGTTTAGTGAGAAAATACCAGCAAATTTCTCCTACTCTGGCCATGCTGCATTGCCCTATCTCGACACGGGGGCGCTTACTACCTTGGTGCATGCGCTCGTAATCTCAAGATTAGATCACTGTAACGCGCTCTACGTGGGGCTGCCTTTGATGCTGATGCGGAAACTTCAGGTGGTGCAGAATGCGGCAGCCAGATTCCTCAGTTTAGTGAGAAAATACCAGCAAATTTCTCCTACTCTGGCCATGCTGCATTGGCTGCCCATTCGTTTCCGCATCGACTTTAAAGTTCTAATGCTCACTTATAAGGCCCTAAACGGTTTAGGACCTCGATATTTGGCAGAATGCCTGCTCCCACCAAGGTCTAACCAGATCACCCATGTGAGTCAGGAGGTGAGGCTGAGGAGCCTGACGCCGAGGGAGGCCCGGAAGGAGAAGACACGAAACCGGGCCAATAAATAAATAAATAAATAAATAAATAAATAAATAAATAAATAAATAAATAAATAAATTGTCCATTTTGAGTGGGCACCAACCACTTGTACATAGCTGAGTTTGTTCTCAAGAGGGATGTCAACTCTGCACATTGTCTCCTTTCCTGTCTTATTTGCCATGGAGTATGTTTCAAGTTCTTAATTTATTCATATTTTCTATTAAGTTCTCTCCCTTGTATATTTCTTAGAACTTTATCTTGAAAGATCTTTCTTATAAATTTAACATGAAGTTCTCTAGAGAGATTTTTTTCCTAGTATATGCTGTATTAATTTTTCGTGATGTGGCTGTACTTTGTTGAACATCCTCTGGTTGTATCTCCATGAGCGATGCTAAATTAGTAGTAATCACTTGCGCTGTGTCTTCTCCTTTTTATTCTGGTAGATTCTGTAACCTAAGTATGGCATTGGCTCTTTCCATTAGTAGATTTAACAAAGTAATTTCATCTCGCTTTCTTTCCCGTTTTAGCTATCCCATCTCTGTTTTCAAGGTCTCCAGTCTTTCTTCCATTCTTTTTGATGTCCCATCTATTCTGGCTATTTTTTTTATTTTCTGTAATTTGATTTTTATTATCAGTTATTTGCATCCCTAAATCTTTCATTTGTACACATAGCTGAGCCATCCCTCTTTGTAGTTGCTGTAGCCCTGTTGATAACATCTCTTGAATATTCTGTTGCCAGTCCTTAAATAACTGTTGCCTCAATATCCCACTGAGATTCCGTTCCTGTGCTGGTGAGCCTCTTTGAATTCTCTCTTTTCCACCTTTTGTCACCATATTGATTCCCCCCCTTCTTCTTAAGTTAAGATAAATTAAGTCTTCTGTCAGCAGCTGTTTTCTTTTTCTTTAAGGATGGCTGTTTAAGTCTTCTGTTAACAGATGTTGCTGTAACCTTGCTTTTCTTTCTCAGTCTTATTTAAATGACCGATCCAAGAGGTTGTGGAGCTTCCCTCTGGGTAGAAATTTCTCACAGTCACCCAGTCACAACAATAAAAATTTAAAAGATCCACAATGCTTTGAAGTAAATAGGATTTAATATCGATATTTCAGATAGTCACAGGAGCAAGGCTTTTATCTTAAATTGCTCTACTTTTGTAGAAAGGTAGTTTTCTCCCCCTTCTCCCTTTCTCTCTTCTCTCCTGTGCTTCTCCCAGTCCAAGCTGGGTGGGTGGGGGAGGCTTGCTTCTGCCATAAGATTTTTTAAAATGTGAAGTTCATGTTGCTGACTCTATATCGATCTCTTTTATGTGTAGTTATTTGGGTCCATAGAGATTTTCCTTACATGATCAGATATTTTAACTTTGAATCTCTGGTTGATATACAGTGGACCCTCTACTTACGGAATTAATCCGTATTGGAACGGTGGCTGCAGGTCGAAAAGTGTGTAGGTCGAGTCTCCATTGACCTACAATGCATTGGAAACCAATTAATCTGTAACCGGCTGTTTTTGTTCCGTTTTTGTTCCATTTTGGTTTTTTTCTGATCTGTAAGTCGATTCTCTGGCTGCAAGTCAAACCTAAATTTTGCGGCCAGAGAAGTCTGTAACTTGAAAAGTCTGTAAGTTGAGCTGTCTGTAAGTCGAGAGTCCACTGTATTTCCAACGTCCTTTTGTGCTCTCTTACTCTCTGCTTGGGCTGTTCCCAGCTCTTTGCCAAGATGGCTTCCTCCTTGGTCCATGCACTCCAATGGGAGTTTGGAGGGAGAACCAGCCGTTGCCGATTCCATTCTCCCCTTTTGTCATATCTGCTGCTTCAGACACCACTTCTCCTAGTGGTGTCCTCCCCCTCCCCGATTTGGGGGTGCAGGACCGAGGGGTCCCATTCAGTTTCAGGAACTTGCCTGAAACCCGACCGGTTCTCACCGTGATGAAACCCCGTCTCCCTTTCTCCTATTACCTAGATCCATTTTAATGTAATTTCAGGCTTGGTCATGGAAAAGAAAAAATATTTATGATTTCACTGGAAGACCTATACTGAAAACGGACTGTTGGTTATGCTGGACCTTTTGGAGGTTTTCAATACTATTGGCCATTGTACACTTCTAGGCCACTTCTCTGGGATAGGGCTTGCAGGTGCTCTTTACAGTGAGGCCGGTGAGATCCTGGATGGTGATTTCAGAAGGTGATGTGGGGGGGGGGGGGGATCCTGTTTGACATCCTGGCTATTGGCCTGTGGGATCACTCAGAGTTCAGTACTGCTCCCTGTGTGATATGGTGAAGTTTGTTTGGGATTTGCGAGTTTCGTGTCACCAGTATCCTGATGACACCCAACTCTATTTCCCTTTTCCATCTAACTCCAAGGAAGCTGTACTAGTTGAAGACCAATGACCTGTGTCTGATGTCAGTAAGGAGCTGAATAAGGGTGAGCAAATGGAAGCTTCTTCCTGACAGAGACGTTGCTTGTCAGTTGAAGGGCAGATCAGATACTAGAAATTCAGTGGCATTACACTTCCATGAAAATTTCATATGTAAGTAATATATTCATTAGTATATAAAACATTTTTAAGGTATTTGGGTTCAGTTTAGTTTGGTTGGGACTACTAGAATCTTATAGTACAGATTCTTATTTAAAAAAAAAACAATGTAGGGCTTAAATGAAAGTCACTTTACATACAGTTTTCCAAAGCCAGCTCCGTACATCATGTGGGATAACATTTACCAAATCTCTTTCCCATTTCTCTTGATAACTGTTACATTTTATACCTAAACCCATAATAGTTTGCTTGATAACCTGTAGTGCTGTTTCAGGAGACCATCTGTTCAGAATCTGATTTATTTCTTGATTTACATCAGAAGTCCATATGTTTAAAGTGTAACGCGTGTTATGTTATTCACTGTGACCATTTATGTTGGTAGTAATAACTGAAGTTTAGACTGAAGGAAAAACTGATGAAAAACATTCAAAGTTATCGAGAATATTCAAAGGGTATGTTCAGGTAAACTTATGAATTTAACTCACTGTGTTACCAGTAAATCTGAGATACCTTCAAAGTTGTAAATTGTATTCGACAAGCTAATAATGCTTTTTATCAAGTACTATTAAGAAGAAATAATTATGTACCAATCATATTCTTTCTGCTTTGAATTACAGCTTACCACAGCCACTTTGGATGGCAAGCTGCACTTGTTCCTGCCTTGAGGACAATTCATGTGGAAACCCTTTGAGAACAACCTCCTTGAAATAAGGGAAAAGACTGGTCACTGGGCAAGCTGCAACTTGTTTCTATTAAATATAGCCTTCCAGATTATTTCCATTTTTTGTTACCCCTTGGGGATTTGCTTAAAGGTTTACTGCTGGAAAGCCATGCCTGGAAAGGCTCAGTATTCTCAATATACTAAATAATTTTCTGCTTGATAGGAGCATTATAGTGCATAAGTTACCTTGCAGTATAGCTTCAGAACTGCTACAGAGTAGGTGCTTTATTTGGTTCTGTTGGATCCCATAAGCTCTACCCAGTATATCTCAGTTTATTATTTGTCCAGGAACATTGAGGTTTAAAAAATATACGTCTAGCAATATGTTTACAATTTCTGTTGTATTTTGTTGGTTCTTTAGAAGGTTACCTCAGACTAGACCTTTAAAAATTCAGCATTTCAACCCCAAGACACTGGCCTACAAATCAGCTATAGATTGCCTTTCTGACATCTTTCAGTAACACCCAGTCCTCAATATTAAAATGACATTTTAGTTATTAATTTTCTTGCCTGTTGATTCAACCATGGGGAAAACCTGAGATTGGGCGTTTCCCTTGTATTTTACTTTGCAAGTAACCCTCTGCAGTATTTCAGATTCCAGTGGCTATGACACTCAACTGCCCTTCAAGATGTGTTTAATTTTATGAAGCTGAATTGCATTTCTGTCCCCTTCTTCTGCCTTTGATGAATGAGGGGAAAACATAGCTTGCACATTTCCAACAGAGATTGCTCAACATGTCAGTGTGGTATACTAATCTTTTACAGAAATTCTTTAAGCTAATTTTGAGGCAAGCTGTTTGCAGAACTACGCACTGTGTGACATCAATTTCAGAATTGTTTCCCCAATCCCATCAGGATCAGGTTAAAGGGAAAATGCAAATTCTGATAAGAACAGAAATACCAGTGATGAGCCCAATCAAACCAAAGGTCAGATCTGTTTCACTGCAGCATTGTGAACTTAATAACCATGTGCTATCAGATCAGCTAAAGTTTATGGCAATCCTCTCCCAAGGTTTTCCAGGTATGAAGACTTCAGAAATTCTTAAATAGCCCTCCTTCTCATGATGCTCTGGATAAGAAGTTTAATTGTTCCACTAAAGTGTGTCTCTGGGGTAAAAGATAGTGGCCTGAACTGATTTATGTGTTATCAGATCAGCTCAAGCTTATCGCAATCCTATCCCTCCTTCTCATGATACTCTGGATAAGAAGTTTAATTGTCCCACTAAAGTGTGTCTTTGGGGTAAAAGATAGTGGCCTGAACTGATTTGCTCTTGGGTTGGTTCTTGCTGCCCTATTCAAACTTTAAAAGATCTGCTCAGCAACTAGAATTTGCCAGCAAGCATTAAAAATGTTTTGCTTCCCACCATTAATTTATTAAATCAGGCTACCAGTGTTCCTTTTTCTAATAAAATGCAGGCTGGCAAAGAATAAAAATTAACTGGGGCTGAAATTCAAATAATGTTCAGAATACAGAGATTCTGTGCCATTTCAAAATTGAAACAAGACTAATTCTCTCACACTTCTCTGTTACGGTTATTAGGTATCTTTGAAACCACTTGAAACAATATATTCTTCCTAAATGGCTGCACACAGAAAAAAAGCATTCCATTCCTTTGAAAATTCTTAGCCTTTCCTCTGTTTATTCAATTGTTCTGGGAAACAGTGTGCAAAAACCACTTGCCTCATAATTAATTGTGGGGTTCCCCCCCCTTTAGATTTCCCAGCACAGAAAAAATGTAGGTCTTTAAATCTGAGCTTTCAGGAACTTGCTGCATGCTTTTCTGCCAGTTCCTCCCTGCCTAGCATCTCAATGCCAAGCAAGGTTGTCCAAGTAAAGGGGAAGTCTGGAAGCTGGAAGTCCTGGCGGGAGAAAGAAGCAGCCATGGGGGCCTCCTTCTTGAAGCTTGCATGTACCTGAGCACATTAAATAGCATCATATACTGATGGAGTGCATAGAACATATAGATTCATATTCATCCTATGCCAGTTCAGTGATTCATAAGTTATGGAAAACAACTAGATCAACTCGGCCTGTTGAGAAAGCAGTGTATATCTGGACTTTATTAGGAGTCTTGCGAGACCTCTCTTGTCTAGCCATTTCTCTTAAGGATGGTCCTCCTGACCCCCAATTCCAACAGTACATTTCTATAGGGTAATTGTGTGCGAGTATATCTGGGAAGACTGGCGAGTGACAACTTCATTCAAGCCAGACCTGAACTTTACAGATGGTGCTGGGAATGCACCTTCTGTAAAGTTTCTTAGAAACTGTTAAGTTTCTAAATGGTGGACATTCAACTTCTGACTACCTCAATGCCAGATATAAATCTATCAGTAGTTATTACTGGAAACAGAAACCTGTGTAATGTGCCTTTAAATTCTTTTTAATCCGTGTTGAGGAGACATGTATATACAGCAACGGAGGAAATACTTTATCTTGGAGGGAAACTGTTACCTAATTCTTTCTACAGCCCTTGAGAAATTACAGGCCCCTAGAAGTTCTACGTGCAAGACAGTACAAAATATTTTAGAGAAGCTAATTATAGAAAGTAATGGTTATTTTCATCCACGCGAGATACCCAGTGAGTAATAAGTTCTTAGTAGATCATATTTTTGAAGGCCAAACTATATGTTGAAGAGATAGCACATCTTTAGAAGCTGAAATCATTTAGCATTTCAGAGAAGTGACTCTAAAATGATCTCTTCTCTGGCTAGTGAAGGAAGGGCTGAGCTACCTTTTAGGCATGTATTGTATCTTGCTTTTAAAACTAGAGTCCCACCACTGTTTTATAACTAAGTGGGGCAGAATCACATTTGAAGAATTAGATCTGCTGTTACTGTCATGTCTGGTTTGGCCCTAAAGTGATAACATGATTTTCAAATGGGATTAGTTCAAGAAAATGAAAGTTGAGAAGAGGAACCCCACACAAAGCAAAATTCCAGTGATGGAAGCCTTTTGTAAGATATTTGAAACCATTCAATGAGACCCATGGCACCACTAGCACTACATAAATTAGAGAAGGGAAGGAAACATGAAACAAATAATTTATCAGAGCAGCATGCAAATCATCTTGTATTTTCCCCTAAAAACATTTCATTATAGAGCCACAAGGATTATTGCAAGCCTGCCATACTGAAGAAGCAAGAATTCCAAGAAACCAGAACATAAGCTGCTGTCCGTTAATTACAAATTCTGCAATGTATTTGGTTGACTCATGATGGTTGGTTGTTTTCCTTTGAGTTTCCTACTGTGTTTTAAAAATCAAATATATATATATACAAAATTAGACAATCTACTCTGCTTATCTGTTACCATGTTTGTCTGTGTCTCATAGGCCACATGTAAATTAGTGACACATGTCAAGGGTTTCTTTTCAATCCTAGAGTGTTTTGTTTTATTTATTTATTTATTTATTTATTTATTTATTTATTTATTTATTTATTTATTTAAACATTTTCACTCACCCTATATCGTAGGATCTCAGGGCGGGTTACAAAACTGTATGAAATAATTTTAAAACATAAGATATTTAAATCAATTTAAGATCAAACAACACAAAATTAAAACAAACATTAAAAATATTAAAAACACAGCACTAAAACCCTGTGCAGTTCATGATCTTCAAATCCCAAATGCTTTCATAAATATGTCTTGACTTTACCCCCAAATGGTGCCGGTGTTGGCACCTATTTAGAATCCAAGACAAGGTTGTTCCACAGCTGCCTTGTTAGGGCAGAAAATGCTTTCCCTCTGTATGTAGCAAAAAGAGGGGTGCTCAGTTGTGGAAGAAGCAAAGGAGTAGGGCTTATATTTTTTCTTTGAGATGGGATATTGTGTAGGCATCCTTCAGTCTTGTGAGACTATGGTAATGTGCTCTGAATAGACAGCTTGGAACAGCATCTAGTGTGGCTGAGAAGGCCAATACAAGAGTGACAATCCCTTCCACACTCAAGACAAATACAATCTATCCCCCGTCCAGCTCCCTGATTTTGCTGGTTTCGGGACTGCCTCTTTGCCTCGGTCTACCAAACAAGGGTCTCTTCAAATTGGGAGAGGCCATGTTGCACCGCCTGCCTGCAGGCTTAACGCTCAGATGTCAAGGTTTCCCATTTGTTGAGGTCCATTCCTAAGGCCTTTGGATTCCACTTGCAGATATCCTTGTATCGCAGCTGTGGTCTCTCTCTGGGGTGCTTTCCCTTCAATAATTCTCCATGCAGGAGATCTTTAGGAATCTGACCATTAGCCATTCTCACGACATGCCCAAGCCAACGTAGACGTCGCTGTTTCAGTAATGTATACATGCTAAAAATTCCAGGTCATTCTAGGAGTACTGTATTTGGAACTTTGTCCTGCCAACACAAAAAATGTGTTGGAGACAATGCATATGGATATACTGATCTTCCTCTCCTGCCATGCATAAAGGATGTAGGACTCACTGCAGTACAGGAGTGTACTCAGGACACAAGCTCTATAGACCTGGATCTTGGTATAAGCCGTCAGCTTCTTATTAAGCCATACTCTCTTTGTGAGTCTAGAGAACATGGTAGCTGCTTTGCCAATGTGTTTATCCAACTCGACATCTAGAGTGAGTGTGTCAGAGATCATTGAGCCAAGGTACACAAAGTCATGAACAACCTCCAATTCTTGTGTAGAGATGGTAATACTGTAGAGGGAGCTGAACCCACGCCTTAGCCCATGACTTGTTTTCTTCAGGCTGATTGTTGATCCAAAGTCTTGGCAGGCCTTGCTAAAATGATTCATAAATTGTTGGAGGCCTTTTGCAGAATGGGCAACAACAGTTGTGTCATTGGTGAAGAGGAAGTCCTGCATACATTTCAGCTGGACTTTGGTCTTTGCTCACAATCTAGAGATAGTAAAGATCTTTCCATCTGCTGTGCTCGGTCCTGGATGATTACGCCTGTAGCAGACTTCAAAGCAGCAGATTTCTTCTGTATTGGACCTAAAGCCTGCTTGATACTGTCATACATTCCCTTGATGTTACCTGTGTCCACTGCTATCTTTATCTGAGAGCAGAGCTGAAGCCAATAATTGTTAGAACATCTCCTGGCAGTCTGTTGGACTTTGCTATGAGCAACTCGAAGAACCTTCAAGTTGTACTCACTAGGACAGGCTTTGTATGCTACTAGAGCTCTCCTCTTTTTCTTGATGGCTGGCATCAACTTCTCTAGATGGGCTTCGAACCAGTCTGCCTTTTTTGTTGTTGTTGTCTTGCCAAACGTGGACAAGGCGGTATTATAAACAGCATTCTTGAAATGTTCCCATCATTCATGTGCATTTGCTCCAGCTAGGCCTGGAAGAGTTTCCTCAAGCGCTTGAGCAAATTCCTCCACTTTTCTCTGATCATGAGTCTTGCTGATGTCAATATGTGGTCTTCCTTCTTTTTTCATGTGATACAACCTCTTTATTCCCAGTTTTACTCTGCTACACACCAGGGAGTGATCAGTATCGCAATCAACACCCTGATAACCATGTGTGATTATAATCCTAGGAAGGCTAGAGTGTCTAATGAGGATCAAATCGAGCTGATGCCAATGCTTCTATCTTGGATGTCTCCAAGAGACTCTGTGTCAAAGCTTTGTATTAAAGAACAAACACCATAACAACAGCAAAACTCCAGCAAGCGTTGGCCATTTTTGTTCATCTTCCCAATGCCAAAGCAGCCTAAACAAGTGGACCAAGAATTGTGATCAGCACAAACTCGAGCGTTAAAGTCTCCAAGAACAAACAGCGGCTCTCTCTCAAGGATCTTTTGATAGTAGCTGCCAGATTGTTATAGAATTTGTCTTTGACATCTGCTGTAGATGACAGTGTTGGTGCATATGCACTAATGAGGGTGACTAGTTCTGCTGATTAATGGAGCTGCAGAGACAGGATTCTTTCACTCCCCACAGTAGGTGGAACAATGGGTCTCAGCAGAGTATTTCTGACCGCATAGTCTGACACCATATTCCCTGGTCTCATTCAATGGTTTTCTTTGCCAGAAGAATGAGAAAGTTTTTTCTTTGACAGATCCCGAGTCTGGCAATCTCTACTCTTGCAGGGCAACAATGTCCATCTGCAGCCTACTCAGTTCCATGTCAATGACAGCTGTCTTGCACACATCATCTATTTCTT